TATGAAACAAGTTGTTGAGTTGTGATCTGTTGTCTGTATACCTGGCTATCTCTGTTATGAAAAAGTTCACCGGTGGGTCAGCTGCAGTTCTGCTCTTCCTCATGTGTGCCAGGCTGGTTCTTGACGTTTTTGATATGTGTTATAAGGCTTCTTTCAGTTTCTTACAGACTTAAATGGGGGTATATTATTTTAAACTGAGTTATTTTGGAGTTGCCTTCTTGCTTTGTGGGCATGCTCTTGGTTGTCCTATTTTCCAGACTTCTGCTGTTTAAAGACGTCTGATACTTCATTCATTGAAGAGTCTCTTTGGTATTTGTCTCCACTTATAATCATGTTTAGGCTTCAGTACCTTCAGGATCTTTGTAAATCCAAACGTGTTGGTCTCAATGGCTCTTAGTCTTTAATTTCTCTTCTCACACAGTTTTATGCAGGCATTGATCTTTTGACCACGTAGCTTCAGGATGGTTTATTGCAAAAATTTTACAAATGATGCTGCTCACAGAATTTTTCAACGCATTTTAGTAATTGAAAACAGTCCTGAAGAAAGTCCTCTGTATGAACAATACAGTCTTAAAAGGACACGTCATATGAGGCCAGGACCTTACCAATTAATGCGTACTAGAGTTTTGTGTACTAGAACTATGTTTCCACCTGGAGTTTCAGTTTTGCTTTGCAGACTGCATGGAGCATTGTAGTCTTGGCCACCATTGTGCAGAATATTTAGCAACGCAAGGGTAAAATCTCAGCTCTGCCATAAGATAATGTGTTTCTCTTTTCTTTCTGTGGTCTTTTCTGTCTCTATCCTTTTTGCTGTCCATCCAAGTCATCAAATTTAATTTCTCTATAATTAAAATAGCTTATATTCTGGATCCATATGAAGGATCACTGTTCATGACGTAGGTCTATCCCCCAGTTATCCATAAGACTATTGAACTTTGCAGATGTCATGTTTGGGGCCACTAGCACTTTGAAAAGGTACTTCTGGAGGTAGTCACACTGTTACATCCAACATAAGTCAGAAGACTGACTGTTTTAAGCTCCTCAGAAGGACAGTTGTGAGCACTGAAGTTTGGTTCCTGTCCTGAACCGTATGTATTACTGCTCTCAGCCTTGTCCACAGTAGGTGAAGGAAAACTGTAACAAGGAAATGATAGCAGAGATTACGTGCTTGTTTCTAATATGCCCAGGATAATCCGCTGTCTTTACTGCTCAGGACGTGTTCCACTCCACATTGGTCCCTGCTCTCATCAGCCTGCCTTCATTCTGGGAAATTTTCTAGTCCAACAAAAGTAAGAAAAGCTGTGACTTCATTTAGGGTGGAAGGTCCTCAGGCTTACAGAAAGCAGGACACTGGCTCCTCAGCTCACTGAGAGCAAATTGAAGTATAAGCCATTCAGTTTCCTTCCAGAGAGGACCACTTTGTGCTGGGAAGAAAGTTTCTCCCATCCCACAGTTTGAATACAACCTTTTTCGGGGGTGGAAGTGTTAGGCTAAGTACCTTTTTGTGGTTGGAAAGGATTTCTCCCATGCTATCAGAATAGGTGGTGAGAGGCATGGAATTTTTTTGCTTTTGTGTTTGGTTTTTTCCCTCAGTTCTCAAAGCAGGCAGTAAGAACACCTTGGTAGTGCTTAGTTCAGATACTTACCCTATTTGGGATGCGTTTTCCTGACAGACTGCACTTGGAAGTGACTGAAGAGCAGAGATACTGTAAAATGGGGTTGAAGTTTCCAGTGTCTCATATGAGAACTACAGAACTACCATTTTTTCCTCCATTCATCAAGCAATTTCACACACTTTGGGCAAGCCTTACTATTGGTTCTTTTTCCTTTCCCATCTCAGATATGCCTGCTCTGTTCACCAGCAACCTTATTACCTTGAATTACAATGCAGCATATTGCTTACGGCGTTGGCACACCTTGTGAGTTGCAATAGCTTTAGAAAAAGCATAAATATCCCATGTTAGTACAAATAACTTGAGTAGGGCTTGTACCGGACAATTTGTTGCTTGATAGTTCCATATGAGTTATTAACACTGGACTGGATTGAACAGCCTCTGTCACTAAATACCTGTGGTCATGAGCAACCATATGACTGATGATTAGTCCAGGAGAGTTCATAGAGTGCAACCACACTCACCTTCTCATGCAAGAAGTCGCAAGAGACTTTCCAACATCCTACAACAGTTTTCAGGTCTTAAAGGTAAAATGCCAGCATACACAAGCTAACACTACTACTTAAAGAAGTTGTGGCTATTTAAATTGTATAGATTTGTAATACTAAGTGTAACTAGTGCCATATAAATAATATAGCACAGTTCCCTTTTCATTTTAATTCCTATAGAAAAGATATAAGTTAATTTTTCAAACTTACAGATCAGCCATAAAATCACAAGAAGTAATTAAAAGCATAAAATTCCAAAAGTAATGTTGGATTTGTAGCATTTTCAGTACTTGCAGCCATGTTCCTAGGTAGGATGGGATTTTGCTAGGTTTTCCAGGCACATCCATGCTAAGTGCAGGAAACCTGGCCATTATGATGATGATTTCAAGTCTGGGAAATTTTGGGCTTTGATCCTACTTCAAGAAATCTTGTGTATCGCCTTCCATCCTTTAAAACTGACAGCATACCAGCCATTGCTAGGATATCCCTGAACTTGTTGATCTTCTGCTGCCAAAAAACCTCTCTTGTGGTCTTGTATATACTGGGACAGTTTACGGCAGTTTTTCCTCAAGTCTGTCGGGGCTCATCCAGGTGCTGAGCTGCCTGAGGATCATAATGTCACACTTTGTATCCAAGACTCCAACCTACTATATATTTCTTCATGTTTACTCTTATTAAAAGCATTCATTAGGTTAAGTCTTTGCTATACCAGAGTGCGCTACTGATTTAACAGTCCCATTTTTAAGGCTCATATCACTATTTATTATATTAGAGTGGTGCATAAAGAGCCAGTTAGGATCAGAGCCCCATTGAGCCAGGCTGTGGAAAAAATAAGTAAAGGTTTACTTCTTCCCTGAAGACATCACAGTCTAAATAGATGAGAGAGAATAGAAGAAATAGATACGAACACATAGCTGCAAAAAGGGGTAGATTTTTGCAAATGCTGTCTAAAATATATTTTCTTCATAGCAATTCTTTTCTCTTCCGAGTGTTCTTTTAGTGTTTTTGATGGTTAGTCGATGCCTGGATTTAGAGTGAAAAATAAAATTTCTATGTTTGAGGCCATATTATCATTATTTTAATGTCTGTACACCATCAGCATCTGAGACTGCAGGAACTTAACTGCTTTACTTGTTGGCATTACACTGAAGTTGATTTCGGTGAACCATAAAAAGTTTGGCCCTGAAGGTAAAATTACACTGTATGCATGTTCCTAACATACTGCTTTGGGGATAAACATGTCTTAAATCAACTCATCGCTCACAGCTAAAATCCTCCTCCAAATGCAGTTTCCCTGTAGATAGTAATGTTCAGTAAGACTGATTTTCTTTAAAACCGTAAAGTTTTTTGAACATTAATTCTATCAATAAACATATTTGAGCGGAGTAGCAAAGAATTCACATAATCCTAATAAAGATTTTGGGGTTTTGTGAAAAGAAGGGAGGGGCATGTGCCAACATTTTTAATTAACTTTCATGAGTACCTCTAATTTGTTCAGATGTGTTCCAAACATTTGCATATTGTGTTTGCTCACATGTACATAATGAAAACTTTTGGACTTCATTGAAACTTTATTTGGTAATTGTGCATTTGGAAAATTAAAATTGAAGTTTATGATACCCTGGCTCCTACTTGCTCAGTTCGTAGTGTGTTGTTAAGATGCCATCACTTGAGAGCTTTGTTACAGCGACGTTTCTGTTGTGGCTTAATGTGCTGTGGGTTCAGATGGCTGTAATTGTGGCCTTGAGGGGCTGGACTAAAGAATACCAGCTGGGTTTGTACCCAGATATTCTTGGATTAATATTTTGGGACTTAGATCTTGTCCTGTCTGGAATTTAAACATACTTCCCCAAGCTTTAAAGGGAAGGCAAGCACCATTTGACGCTCTTAATGAGCACTTTTTTCCCCTCTTTAATTTGCGTGTTTTTTTTTTTTTTAATTCCTGTAGCCAGTGAAATCCAGACAGTTACTTCCAAACCATTTTTACAGCCCCATATGAACAAAGTGCTTTAGTTTGTTCCTCAGCTTAATTCCCAAATTAATAATAGTTAGAAAGTTCTTACATCTGCATCTCCATTTTTCTTAGAATATATAAGGGTGAAAAAAATTTTCCCTAGATATTAGGCAAGCTTTTGAAGTGAGAACAACTTTGTTACATTTGAGACGGCAAGTCTTTCGTTGTGACTAGATTGATTTTTTTGGTTGCTCTTTGAAATAATTCCTTTTGTTTCAGGTCTAAAATTTCAATTTTGTTTCTACATGGAGACAAGAGACTTAAACTCCCCCATAGTGGGGAATCAGTCAGGGTTTTTCTTCTATTTAGAAACCTTTGACCCATCCCTCCCCTGTTCAGTGAATAGAAATGGCAAGGCAACTTGTGCTGAGGGTGACTAAGGATCTGCTCTCCATGTAGCTCATGAAGTGAACCTGCAGGGGAGAGGGTTTCAGGAGTCCTGCTTACGGAAAAAATGCTTTTAAAGTATTTCTTTGCCAGAGAACGCCTTTCTTGTACCCCTGAGTATATATTAATTGGTTATAATCCTTAGTTTTGAGGCACATAATTATTCACACAGCAGCATGTGATGGATTCACAGGTACAGTTACAATTTCTTTGTACTGGCAAGCAGCCTTTTCTGAGGGACAGAGAGGACCTTTTTGTGTAAAGCTCCAAGTTCTGTAATTAGTGGTGTAGTAAAGAATTCAGATAAGTGGCAAAACATATACAAGTGCTTAGAAGTTCAATCAGCTAGCCTTTAAGTTGTCTGCCTGGATATGTCATTACTCTAAGCGGTTTAACGTATGTTTGCATTTCTTCTTACCTTTTTTTTTTTCCTTCCAGATCATTACTAAATACGTTTATGAACTACTGCAAAAGGAATGCCACTTGAAGAAAGTAACTCTCCCAGTAAGTATAATTTTTTTTTTCTGAAGATGATGTTTGTTTGGATCTGTAAAAAGCAGAGCCTGCAATCCAGTATTCAGATAAAGACAAGGTGTGCCAAGGCTCTGTGCAGGGCATTGTCTCAGGACAGTGCCTTCGCACGCAGCATGTGCATGCATCCGGAGACGTCGTTCCACCTCACTTCTCATGTGTTTGATTCCTCCAGCTGAGCTTTCCTTGCCTTACCAGATACCAGAATTTTCAAAATGTGGTAGTTTTGATACAGGAACCATAAGCTTTTTGAAAAGTCTTTGTGAATGTTTTGAGACCTCTACAGCTGGATGTAGAGAATAAATGTGCCTTTACAGGCAGAGGAATAAACTCAAATTGAGTTTCAGTAAACTACTCCAGGTCTTTCTTTAAAACACACTTTTTCAGTAACTTGTAACATATATGTAATATAAGGTGGTGCTGTTGTTTAGTGAAAATATTTGATCAACCCTTAGAAGTGATGAAGTATTCCCCAAAGAACACGTATGAGAGTGTTTGTAAATACATGTGATACCGTGATGATGTTCAGGTATTTTTATATTCTGTAGTGGAGGGTATAGGGAAGACTGTAGTGTGACAGCACTGTGTAGGTTTTCCATCACTATCATAAAGGATTCTTAGGGTCTTTGAGAAGCTTTTGCATTACTGTTGTTCTCAGCCAGTCCTTCACATTCAGTCAAGGAAAAACCATTCGGGCTAAGGAAGGAAAATTTCCTTTATTTTAACAGTTCTACAATGGTTCGCAGTTCCCATTTCCATTCCCTAAGTGGTGGTGTTTAGGGAATGTTTTGATAACCTGCCCACACTACTCAAGGTTTCCCAGCCAGGCTTTGCCAGTGTCTCCTGGTCAGGGCAGAAGGAGCTGTGCTAGGAGCTCCACGGAGCAGTCAGAGAGAGAGCAGCAGGTCTCCTCCGCACGCCCAAGTCTGCTAAACCACATAGGCTGCACTGATGCCCCAAGACCCTTGAGAAAGCATTCTCCCACTTCAGATTTCCCTGTGTAGACAGAGAAGGTGATTGGGTTCCTGGTGGCAGTCTGCCTGGTGTAGTGCTGGTCGTAGTGTCTCTAACTTCTTTGCTCTGCTGGTTTTCTTTGTTGGTGAAGTTTTGGCCCAAGGAATTACTTCCATGTTCCAGACAGGTAATGTGTTGAAAGACTTCCTCAAGCCATGTCACCCTCTCTCTGTCAAACCAGGAGGTTGTCATTTGTAAACTTTCAAGTGCCTGAATTTTGAGGCTATACAACTTTTTTTGAATGTGCTTTGTGAAAAACAGTATGCATGTAAGTAATGCAATGCTAAGGCTGATCTGTTAGCTTCAAAAAATGAAGATGAACAAACTTGGAATAAGTATTACAACACCTCCATCACCTCTGTCACACACGTGGGGACTCTTCTGCACAGCTTTGAGATTTGGGTGTCTGGCTTGGGAGAAGAATGGCCCTGTCTAGCTCCCACTGTTGAATTAATCTGTGTTTATTCTTATTTATAAATTATGTAGTAAGCGCTGATGTACTGATGTAGTTTGTCAGTAGTACATTTCAGCTATTCTCAAATGTGTTACTTCCAGCTTCTGCAAAGTGTCATAATTTAATTGCATTTTGGAGCAAAGTAAGAACTCACAAAATATATGCAGCTGTTTAATTGTGAGCAGTGTGGAGAATTTGGCACAAGGTATGAGCACCATTCCTTATTAATGACTATTACATGTAGGAAGCCCTCACTACAGTCAAAAATTAGTTATGAAGAGGACTGCAAAAATGAGAAAAATGAAACAACTTATGTAGAAGGTGAAAAATCTGTCTAAAGGCTATGTTTAAATCACCACTGACAGACTCCCAAGTAACAACACAAAGAAACCTAGTTTAAACTAGTAAAGGAGGCTAATAGAAGTAGTAAGACAGCTTGCAGCAAGAGTAAGTCCTGTGCAAGTGAGGAAAATAGGAAAGAGTATAAATGCTGGCAAGTTACATTTAAAATCACAGTAAGATCTCCTAAAACTGAATTTGAGGAGCTTGTTATAGCTGTAAAGGCTAACGATAAAAGAGAGCTGATGAGGCTGATAGATGAGCTGCATGCAAAAGGAATGCTCAGCTCAAATGAGAAAAACTAACACGGTTATTTCCAATGTTATTTGTCCAGTTTCCACACCTGAATATTACTAAGTTTTTTTTAAACAGGATATAATTCTGAGGAAGTGTCTGAAGTTTGACATATCAGTAGAGATGATCTTAGAACAAATTGATATATCATACAATAAAATCCCAGGATGAGATGGTCTTTACGCCCAGGGTACTATAAGAAGTCAAATATGAAGGTGCAGAACAACCAAGTATTATGTAACTTACTGCTGACATTGGTCATTTTCATCAGAGGAGTGGAAAAAGAGTAAATGTGATAGTCTTTGAAAGGCCTCCAGGGGTGATTCATAGTGAATCCTGTGTACCAGGAGGAAATAATATATTGGGGGGAAAGTCAGTACAGGTTTCTTTTTAAAAAACCTAGTAGAATTCATTGAAGGAGTCAGAGATCACATGAAAAAGAAAGATCTTGTCAGTAGAAGAGTGCGTGGATTTCCAATGAGCTGTCAACAAGCTTACCAAATGCTTTTTAAAAAGATACTGTCATGGCATGGGAGGGGGGAGGCCCCTTATGAGTTAATAATTGGTTAAAAGGAAAAAAAAGCTGTTCATATTTTACAGATTAAATAAGTTGTTACTGATGCAGTGTTATTAAGGCCTGCACTGACATAGTTGTGAATAAAAGGAAAAAAAGAATTAATAGAAGCTAACAAACTTTGCTGATTTTTCTAACATTATTTAGAATACTTAAATCTAAAGCTGATTGTGATGAGTTGGGGAATTATTTCATGATGCTGAATGATTGGATGATAAAATGACATGAGATTCAATTCTGGTAAATGTGAAATTATGGGGAAAATAACTCACTCTGTAAACACAATGGTGGCCTCTAAATGAGCTATTACAACTCAGGAAAGAGCTTGGAGTGATTGTGAATAGTTCTCTGAGAACATCAGTTAGTGCTCGATGGCAGTGAAAAACCCTGAAAGCAAATACGATATTAGGAATTACGAGGTGTTGAGAACAAAACAGAAAAACATCGTCATTCCACTCATTATGTGGGCCCCCATCTTGAACACTGCATGGAGTCTGGACACCATATCAAAAAGGATATGAAGAATTAAAAAAAAAAAATACAGAGGAGGGTTACAAGGATGATCACAGGCATGAAATGCTTTTCAGACAAAGAAAGATTACACAAAGATTCTTCAGCTTGGAAAATAGATGGCTAAGGAAGGAATATGACGAATCTATAAAATCATGAAAGGTGTAGAGAAGATGAATAGGGAATGGTTTTTCGCTTTTTTTCATAATAGAGAAGCTAAGGGGCATCAAGTTTAAATTATCAGGCAGGAGATCTCTACTGAAAGAGAGGCAGTACTATTTCATATACGTCTCAATTATATTGTGGAACTCATTGCCACAGAATACTATCAAGGAGAAACGTATAAATGCATTCAGAAAAACCATCTGACAATACTAAGGTGGGATAGGTGTATTGAACTATTGTACATGCTTGTCCAGTTATAAACTCTGGCTCAGGAGGCTCCAAAGTTACTGGTTGCCAAAACCAGTAGGGAATCACTGTATAACCTCTCTGTTCTACTGTTCCCCTAAGCAATCTGCCAGTTGTCAGAAACAGGACCCTGGGACCTTGATTTGTCCAGGATGGCTGCTGTTATGAATATGACCTTGTTATATGAATATTTCAGAGGTGAATATGAAAACATGTTTTTTCTGAACTTCATCACAGGTGATCATAAAGTTGGTGTATTGGCCTTCCTTCTTCTGTCAGCTGATAATGAAGTAGACAGTGTAATGATGTTTGAATATATGAAATGTGTTTCAGGACTGTGTTAAGTGGAGTACTTTTTTTTCCAGCATGATTTTAGTAATACGCAGAAATTTTATGCTTCAAAGGTTTAAGATGACAGCATTTCATGTTCTCTCATCTTTCTTAATTTCAACCTCGTGCAAAGTCCAGCTTGCTGTCTTTATTTTGCTTTCTCAGGTGGCGGCTTCAGTTTTGGACATAATTGTTTGTAAATTTCTTTTCAGATACGAAAATAAGAGCAGTTTGGAAATCAGGAAAGGTCACCCATTGTTTTATTATGTCAGCATCTCTGACAAAACATAAATCTGAATATTTTTTCCTACACAGGGAGACTGAGATGCATATTGCATTATTGTTACTGTAAAGTATTGTAGTTCTCTTAATGTTCAACATACACTACTGGACTCGAAAATTTAAATTAAGAGACTCATATTCGGGGAAAAGCCGTTCAATTATTTCTTTTAAATTTCTCATTTTGTGCATTGAAGGTTATATTATGAATATAAAGAAGACTGCAATTTTTTTATCCAGATGAAGTCTCTGTATTTCTGTAGTTTTAATGGCATAATCAGTGATTGATCTTTGCTGTTCTTTAGCTGTTGAGGACAAATAGAGGGTGCTTCTGAATTAAATGCATCTTTAACAGCTTCTGGGAAGGCTTCAGATGGAAGTTTAAATAATTACTAACATGTTTAATTGACGATGGCACTGAAAGGTTCTCACTCTGCAGAATCTTCTAACTTATCAATGCTTTGCTCTTTCACTTCAGTAGGTAAAACTTCACTCAGTAGTTCTCTTGATCTACTAGACAGACAAGAATATTTTTCTTTGAGAAACAGTGATCTCTCATCTCCACTGCACGTTCCTTTTGACTATTTTGTTACCTAAGTCCAGTTAGTACTTGTTTTGTAAAACTTCCAACCAGTTTTATGTGTGTTGTTAGTTGTGGTAATACCAAATGCTAGTTAGCTGCTTGTAGTATTGATCAGCAGTTTTAATTTTCTACGATTTTGAGTGAAAAATTATAAATCAGGATATTCAATATTGTGAAGACTGTTGAATGAGTTACTGAGCTTTATGTAGAACCACATAACAGAAGACTTTCTTATGAAGCAAATGAGCAGTTTTCTCTCTCCACCAGCTGCTCACAATTCTCACAATCTTTTTGAATCTTTTCAGTTTCAGTTCCATTTAATTGCCGTGTTCTTTCCTCCAGTCACAAGTGACACCTCTTTCACTTGTTTGTGGGCTCTAGGCTCATAATTTTTATTGTGTTTCTTAACTGGAATAAGAAAAATATTAGTGGGGATTTTTCCTTTTAAAAAATTAACATTTAATCTTAAATGTAAAAGCTTCCAGTGTACAGAATAAAAGACCCCTAGAGCCTAGTCAGGTTTTGTGCATCTTGGGTTGGTAACAGCTAAGAACTGAAAATTGAGTCAATGTTGATGTGGTAGCATGAATGTCAGTAAGATTAGATTTCAAGTATAGTTTGATCTTACCCTATATATTGATAGCAACTGCGCAAAATACTAACTAGCATTCTGCTGAAGTATTCTATAGACTGGTACTACTGTACTAGGTGATAGCTCATTTGAGACAGAACTCATATGGAAAAATTAAATCACTGTTGGAAAACGTTAAGAATGTCATAATGTACATAGAGTGCATAACTCAGAGAATTCACCGTAACTGCATACATTCATAAACCTTAAGGTATAGTTGTGCGTTGGAAAAATAAATCTGAGAAAAGGGAAAATTAAACTTTAAAGAGTACTTTTAAACCATAAATTATCAGCAGAATTTAGATTGGCTTGACATTGCTAGCTACAGATTATTGGAAGATTGTTATTGCATGCGAATAACATTGTTGAATAAAATTGTTAAATTAAGCTAATTGAAGTTCAGCATTTTACTGAATTTATTCGATTTGTGTTTAAATAAAGGATCAGAAATAAGTGTTCATGAGTAGGTCCAGAAGAGAAAGTGGCTAATAAATATAAATTATTTTATGCGGACTCAGTATGTTGAGCACTAAATGGTGTTCTATGTTGATTTGTCAATAAAGTAAGGTTGTGCACAGGAGTGACCTTTATGTGCATTCTTTAGTGAAACCTTGATCTAATGAATTACTACTGTTTGAAGATAAATTAGCTTGAAACAAAGTTTCCAAATGTAATTAATTTGAGGAAGAGAATTAAGAGTTATTTTTATGATCTTGGTAGATATTTTTAACTTTTTTAAATTAACGTATTTGTGGAAGTGTGAACTAGTTATGTCTTCTAGTACATATGATTAGTAAGTGCTAGTATTTCCTAAATGCTAAACAAAAATTTAGTTTATAAATACTAAAACATACAGCTAAATTATATCTTTGTCTGAAATACAAATTCACAATGTTTTTTCTTAATTACAGTATCGTAAGTATTCAGTTTATGTGCAAAAGTCAATTACATCTTGCCAAGTACCAAGTACTATCTGAGATTTAGTGTTGTCTGACATTTTACCTAAGCCATGTTAAATTTTAAGGTCTCAGTACTGCTACTTCAGAAGCAGCAACATGGTCTGACTGTAGCCCCATGTCCTGGTTTCAGCTGGGATAGAGTTAATTTTTCTCCTAGTAGCTGGCATAATGCTGTGTTTTGGATTTAGGATGAGAATAATGTTGATAACACACTGATGTTTTAGTTGTTGCTAAGCAGTGCTTACGCTAAGTCAAGGACTTTTCAGCTTCCCACACTCTGCCAGCGAGGAGGAGCACAAGAAGCTGGGAAGGGGCACAGCCAGGGCAGCTGACCCAAACTGGCCAAATTCCATACCATATGACATCGTGCTCAGTATATAAACTGGGGGGAGTTGACCGGGGGGCAGCAACTGCTGCTCAGGGACTGACTGGGCATCAGTCAGCGGGTGGTGAGCAATTGCATCACTTTTTTTTTTTCTTTCCCTTGTTTTTCTTTTCCCCTGTTTCTCTCACTTGTTGTTTTACTTGCCATTGCAGCTTTTGCTTTACCTATTAAACTGCCTTTATCTCAACCCACGAGTTTTCTCACTTTTACTCTTCCAATTCTCTCCCCCGTCCCACCAGGGGCGGGGTGGGGAGGCTGAGCAGGCAGCTCTGTGGTGCTTAGTTGCTGGCTGGGATTAAACCACCACACCCCAGTATGGTACCTGTTGTACTTACATATTCTAAACTCTTCAATAGAATGGCTTTTTGTACCATGTTTTCCATTTTCTCACAAAGTGTAGAGAGAAAGTGAGTACATTTCCTGGTGTAGAAAGTGCAAGCTGAGTCACAACAGATGTTACGTCATTTTGGAGCTGGCAATAAGCTCTTCAGCGCTACAGCAGGTGTGGAAGAGAGACATGACCATTCTTTTAGTTAGGAATTCCTTTTGTTCAAGTAGCCTCATTGACTTCATTACAAAAATATTAGGTAGGACTTGCATTATAAAAAGTCTGGAGATTCCCACTGAATTAATTTTTCCTAAAGTAAGGGTAATTAAGAATACATACCCGTGTGTGAGAGAAAAACTGACATGTTCCAAATAGCCATTCCTCCTGTCTCAATGTAAGGCTCGTATCCTGACCTGCTTTTCATCGCTGTTGTGGAGCGTAAGGCAATCCAGGGTTGTTCCTAGCAGCTCTACAGTTAGCTTGTGCGGGTCGTGGGGCGTGGAGTACAGTAGAATGGGGAGATTTGCCTGTTCTGTTCTTCCTTTTCTATATATTTATATGGTAGAAAGGTAAGAATGAGTAGGTGGGATGTTTCTTTCTGTCCTCACGGTGTTTATACCAGCACAGTTTTTTTGCCTTGAGCCAGGCTTGCTAAACCAAGTGTAGACCTGTTTGATAAAACTTCTGTTTTTACTGAACAAAAAGTGCTACTTTACTCTCTAGAGTAAGGACAAAACTTGGAATTAGATTATGGTTTACTGAATATCAAAGCTGGTTATTGATCTGTTCCTGTAACAAAGTAGCTAAGCATTGACCCAGGTGCAGGGCTCTTAATGAAGCCATTATTTAAACCCAAATTGGATTTCTATATTTTATTAGGCCTATCCTATTAAATTTATAATAGACAAATTTACAAAACTGGTTCATATGTGGCTTACTGGGTATTTATGTTGAGGTGGCTGAGATGGAACTCTCTAGGATTTTTTTCGTATTATGTAAGACTTTTTTTGTTGCTTCAGGCATATCAGAGGTGAAAAATTACTTGATTCCCCCCCCCGATTGTTCTTTTATGGACTTTCTTTTTTGCCAGCAAATTTCTGTAAACAACTGATGTTTCAAGGCTTTAGCATACTTTTTACCCCTTTTTTTATTTAAATCTCCCTTGGATTACTGTTCTAAACTGTGGTATATTTTTCTGTTTTGAAGTTACAGTGCACAGATATTAGCTTTTGTTTTATTTTTATTTAGTACTGGGCACACATTAGTCCTTATAATATGAACAGAAATAGTTGTTAAATGGTGAAAGTTTTTATATCAGTTTGGTGGCAAACTTCATATCTTTTAAAAAATGTTATTGATGCATAAAAGTGCATGTTGTCTGTAATTGCAGGTTGATGCGACTGAGAGTGAACCAAAGAGCTTTATCTTTATGAGCGAAGATGCATTAACAAATCCTGACAAGCTGTTGGTCCTAATTCACGGTAATGGTGTTGTCAGAGCTGGTCAGTGGGCTAGGAGACTTATAATTAATGAAGATCTGGACAGTGGCACGCAGATACCATATATAAAGAGAGCTATTGAGGTAAGTGAAAGTATATGTAGTACGGTTGTATGTTCATACGCATGTGTATGTGTGTACCTGTGTACAAAGACCTCTAGATGTGTCATGTTTTAATTTGTTAAACAGTGTTCAGTATTTCCCTATATGATCATTTTATTTATGACGGGAATACTTGCTTGGTTTTTTTCAGAACTTTTTTCTAATGGAACCAAGTTTCTCTCTTACAGTAAAAAAAATTTTAGTTGTATGTCATGTTGTTGTGGCAGCACTGCCATGTAGTTTAATATGGCAGCTAACGTGACAAGAGCCCTTAGCAGGTGATGAGATGCAATAGAAGGCACTACAGAAATTTGTTGTTATTTGAAGTGTTTTCTTCTACATTTCATTAAATTTGTACATATTCTCACTCAACGTCTGTTGTAATCTCATGATAACATGAGCTTTCATGATAACAGCAGGCTTTTTTGCTAGGCTTGTGCTGAATTTATTAGAGGCACAGTCTCTTTCAGTTTTGCACTGAATACTGATTCATTCTGATTCACCTATCAATACTTGACAGTAAAAAACATTTACATTTTATGGATACTATTGTGTTACATTTACATTTATGTGAGAGACAATGCACAATTTGTGCTGATGTTTTTAACATTGGAACTTTGTAGGTGTAATTCATCTTTTGCATCTTGCTACCTAAATGAAACTTCCTGTAGTAAACATTGGAAAAGCCTGTTTAAGAGTTACTATTTCTATTATATTTACCAAGTTAAGCTAATGTTCTACTCTAAATATGAGCGTTGTCACTATGATTGTTACACGTTTTGCTAAATGAAGTTGAATTTTTTGCAGCTGGCTTTAAAGTATTCAGTATAGAAAATGGTTCTCTTCAAATATGTTTTCTTTTTTTTCATAAAGCAAAGAAAGAAAACATATTAAAACATTGGGTCATTAAGTTATTTTTGGTTTGTATAATCCACTAACAAAGCACCAAACTACACTTTGCGTAAAAAAGAAACCTATTCTTGTGAAAGTGATGCTTGCCTTCTTTTAACATAAAGTTTTTGTTCATTTTAAATCAAGACTCAGAGGCAGAACAAAAAATACTTCAGGATTATTGAATGGAATATAGGTGTACTGTAGGTCCAGTGTAGGAGGTTAATTTCTAGAGTGCAAGTTCCAAAACCTTTCCCAAGAAACCCGAAGAGCTGTAGCTACTTAAATTTTCATAGCAATGGTTACATGCCTGCATTTTCGTTCTTTCCTAGAGATGCTGCTGTCTTGGCTAACGTGAGAGGCTGAACATTTAAAACTGGGATACTATCCCTAAATTAACAGATAGCCTTTAAGAGAGTATTTCTAGTAGAGGAGAGTTATAGTTCCTTTTCCTGTTTTGGTATTTTTATTTATTTTATGCAATGACTGTGCCAGTGTGACAGAGATCAGACCTCTGTTCCCTCAAATGGTTATTATCCTTAAAAACAGATTATGTATTTCTGCATTTTGAATCCTTCTTTGAAAAACACAGGAAAAAAAACAGAGTTTGATGAGAAAATGTCTTTTAAAAAATGTAATCATTTGATCACATTGGGACATAAGACTGTCGTGGTTTAATCCCAGCTGGCAACTAAGCACCGCCGAGACTCTTGCTCACTCCCCCCCGGTGGGATGTGGGAGAGAATCGGAA